ACAGATGGCGGATGGATCGACCGGTCGATCGTATCGTCCATGGCCGACGATGCCAACACATCGCAAGGCTAGGCCGCTCTAGACAGAGAAAGAGATGCAGTAAGTGAAGAGCGTGAAGGCTTCCCCTTGTCTTTTGCCTGGCCTGACACGAGAGCTGTGCATGCAATGCAAACGCAGCAGACTCGCAGACACGCAGTTACTCACACTGCAACTCGTTTCGTTTTTAATAAAAATCGGTGGCCTCGGCTTGGCGCGCCTCTGGCCGGAGTACGCTAATGATACTATTGCCGCTGCCGTCCGTTCTGGCTTGGTTGGTTTCTTCTTCTGGCCCTGCGGCCCGCGTCAGGCTTCCCGCTGCACCGTAGCAACAGTCTAAATGTAAGTGCGGCAGTGCAGCAGCATGAGATGGGCGCAGTAGATAAGACGTTTCTGTTCTGAGCTCAGTGCGTGCATGGCGCAGATTAAAGTAGCCCCCATTTCTCCCGCCAGCTCATGTTTCTGGCTTTCTTCTACTGCGTCATCTTTTTAATTCGTTTCATGGCATGCAGTCCGAAAGCTTCATTCCAAGAGATGCTTCGGCGTCAAGCCATGGCCATGCAGCTGCGTCTAGCCTGATATACTACAAGGCCTTGAGCTGCTTTATCATTTTCGTGGTTAAATTCCTGCAGCTGCCTTATGACCTTACCAGACATGAAACTCTTCATCAAGAGTAGTAGCATAGCATGCCGCCTTGGCAGTTCAAAATCCACATCCATAGGTGGAATAATTGATTGATCTCACTGTGTTGGGTGAGAACACCCTAGACTTGGGTTGGCAGTGCAAAGCACAAACAGGATGCTAGCTAATTTGGCGAGCTCAGAGGGACAGACACAAGTGGGCACCATGTCACCATCAGGCTGGTCATAATGGGCAAAAACATAAGCTAGTAACTTACACACTTCCCTAGACTATGTTACTACCTCTATGGTGGGTAGGAACATTTATGTAGTGTCATGCAACAATGAATTTATTAGGTTATAGACTCATTGTTTCTTGGAGTGTGTGATGTTTCGGTAACTTAGCTAGTTACCACAAGCATCTCTTTCTTCATTAAATATGTGCCACATAAGCAAAATTGTATTGGAGTGTGTGATGTTACTCCTAAGTTCCTCCCCATTATGACGAGCCTGAGGCACCACCGCCACCAGGGTCAGAGAATGGCAATGCAATCAATAGAAACAAGAGCCGCGCCTGCATACACAGGGCAATCTGTTCGCTCGCCCCCTACTACATCTAGTACGTACGAGTAGCTGTTTCTTGCTCGTGCACTGTAGACGCGCACGCACGTAGCAAGAATTATTGGACATTGGTGTACGTGCTCCGCATTCACTTCCTTCTCCTCACCTTCGTCCATGTTCTGGCCAAGCCCCGAGCCCCCTGGCTATGGCGCTATGTACTATGCATCGAGACATATCGATCCTTCAACCGGCCTTAATTTTGCTTCTGCGGCGGGCTACTATTTACGTCTTCGTTTCCAGAAATTCCACATGACGTGAACCATGGAAAGCTCCGGCGACGCTCGTCTCCATCGAACTTTTATGTCGAGAGCGATCGATCGACCGTAATTGCACTTTCCCGGCCTTCCACTCTGTTATGTCAATTGATGATACACGTAGTAGAACAGCAGGATCGGTGTCAGCATTCCCCGAATTTTCTTTCTTTCTTTCTTCCCTCAGGGAAGGCATGCAGTTAAGTTGCTTACAGAGGGTGCACGTAAGACATCTCGACGTGCCGGTCAGAGCTACTTACTGATCATGCGATGCGCACAGTGCCACAATTACTCTCGTGAACAGGCCTGCTGTGGCAATGTGTATGTAGTACACATCGCAAGGCCCCGGTTTGTTTCTTCGACGCACACCTGGCATGCATGATGTCAACCCTGTACGCGTGCGTCGGCGCCGTTGTAGGGCATCGAAATAAATTTGGTGCGTGCCTAATAAGTCTTGCCAAAGACGTGGGCACGAGATGATGGTCAGAACGCCTACCAGACATTCGAAATGAATTGGGCTACTGTGTAGGCTTCAACATGCTCGGTCGATGTCCATGAGGTTGCAATTGCGCGCTTTCGCGCACAGTTACGTACGTACGTACCGCTTTGTTGTCGTCCTGCCGCTCGCAGCGTCCATGCATGCAGTGCAACCATGCGCTGCTTGGTCTTGACGGCACACACTGCGGTTAAATTTCGTTTTTTGACCCTTTTCTGAAACCTATTTCAGATTTGACCCTAGTTTTAATTTTTTTTTTGAGATCTTATCATTTTGCTACCATCAGGGACCACGACGGTAGAGTATAAGAGCATTACTAGTAGAACCCTCAAACCCTCGAACCCTCACTAGCGTTTTAAGGGTCCAAAAATGATTTTTTGTGTGCACTTTTACGGGTTGAAAAACAGAGGCAAAAATTAGAACCCTCAAACCCAACCCTTATAACAAGAATATTCCCCACGACGTTGTCGTTGCGCGCGGGAGATCGACGGGGCGGCCGCCGGCGACGGGGGCGACTAGCAGCGGCGGTCGCGGGCGTGAGCGTGGGAGTTGGGAGGATTTTTCCCTCCCGCACGAGTATAACCGCCAAATGAGAGTTGGGGTAGATTTTGCTCCCCAACCCTTACTTTTAAGGATTGAGAGAGGGTTTGAGGGTTGGACCTTTAAAAAAATTTGAGGGTTTGATGGTTAAGGGGTTCTAGTCTACGGCTTTTTTTCGACGAAAACTGTAAAAAAGCAGTTATTTTAAAGGGTTTGAGGGTTTGAGGGCTCTACTAGTAATGCTCTAACAGCCTACCGTTAAGGTCCCTGGCGGTAGGGTTGCATGCCCTACCGTCAAAAACCTTTTAAAGGCTTCTTTGATTCAAAGGAATTTTATAGGATTTCTGGAGGATTGAAATCCTTAGGATTTTTTCCTATATTGGTCCTTTGATTCATAGGATTGGATCCCATAAAAAATTTTCCTATGGAATCTTTTGTACTACATTTCGGCCTCCTTTGATTTGAAGGATTTTTCATAGGAAAAATGTAGAAATTCTCATTCCATAGGATTTGCTACTGTAGCGATGTTTGATTTGCAGGAATCAGTATGGAGGAATACTATTGCAATCCAGAGAAACACTGTTTGTTTCCTGTGATTTCACATGAAGTGAAACATTGAGTCAGACCTTTTTTTTACACAAAGACCGAGGCAAGAGGAACAAAGTTGCATACCAGCGCATGGTTTCTCTACTAAATAATGCATTCCTTTGATTTCAGTTCCTGCATTTCAAACATTCCATTTGTTTCATATTCCTATACTTTTCACTGTTTTCAATCCTCTGTTTTACAACTGCAACCCTATAGATTTCCTGTATTCTTTCTATTCCAGTGTTTTTGCAATCATGTGAATCAAAGAGGCCCTAAGTATTGACCACAACGCGTGCTCGTGCCTTGGCGGTAGAGTTGTGCAGGCTATCGTCAGCCCGGTTGGCGGTAGCGATATTTCCTACCGCCAAAGTCCCTGCCGTAGGCTGTTAGACCCTACCGCCATGGACTCTGGCAGTAGTAAAAGGGTCAGATCTCGATTTTTTTTCAAACTAGGGTCAAATCTCGAATAGGTTTTAGAAAATGGTCAAAATACGAAAATTTGCCACACACTGCTGATCATCAATTCATCATGCCCGTCTCATTGGTGAGAATATCTCCGTGAGTGCAGGCATGGCGGTGGCGGCCATTTCTAATTTTACTCCTCTACGTACTACCCTATTTTGTCGAGCCATTTTTCCTTTCTTTCATGGACACCGATACACCCCGCTCGAACGCTCGATCCGCCGGTGCACGGCAGACGGCACTGTGCCAATACCGACCGCAAACGAACAAAAGCCAATGAGGTGCAGTGCAAGCCCGAGACCGTGGATGGCGCGCTTGGATTCTTGCAGGCTCATTCCATCGTCCGTCCAATTCTTTAAATCTCGTGCATGCATTGGATCCGATCCGCTGAAGCTAAAGCCGGTCGTCAGTGGAAACAGCAATCGTCCAAAGCCTCCCACCCACTCAAATCATACCAGATCCAACGAGGCACCCGCGCCCGCGCGCCGGCTAGTTCCAAAAGCTGCGATCCCCTCTCATCATCCGCTCAATTGTCAAATTTAAGCCGATCGCGATCAGCGCTTGACCCACCCAAACCCAACCAGAGAGGGCCCCCGTCCCAAGCTTTTTTTCCCGGCGCCCCGGCACAAGCTCGAGCGGCAGAGGCGGCCAGGCCGGGTCCGGACCCCGGACCCGGCGCGCGCGCGCACAGCGGGCCAGCGGCACCACTGCTCGCCGAGGCAGGCGCACTTATTTCGCGACAGTGGCGGTGCATGCTTGCCTGATGACGCCCTGCGCCGCGCTGCCCAAAGTCTATACGAGGCTAATTTTCACTCCCCATGCCATCGAGCGTGCGCCGCTGCTGCTGCTGAAAACGGGTCGGTCGACCGAATCGATCGAGTAAATAAAGCAACGGTAATTACTACTCAACCTGGCGATCGAGGCGACACGGTGAAAACTGAAAGTTGGGCTGGCGTGGCGAGATACACGGGCGGGTGGCACCGATGGACAGGCGGTTGGGCTCTTTTGAGCACCGCAAAGCGCGCGACGTGACATACTACGACACGTAGCAGTGACGACCTGTGTGTAAAGAGGAGTGAGAGCAGTGGAGCATGGGCGCGGGGTACCAGGATGTTCCAGCCCAGCCCAGCTCCACACGCATCGCCCCACCGATCATAGTAGCATGATGACGACCTCAAGCCCTCACCGTCGCACAGTCTTCCCTAGTAAAACCCGCGGGGCCCGGCGCCAGCCCAACGCCCACCACCCAGCAGCGCAGAGCTGAGCAGAGCACCCGCTCTTCTTCTAATATAAACGGCTTGACTTCCGTTCTAGCGGGGCCGTAGTTGCATTGCGGTCGCAGGCTTGCAGCTAGGGAGAGAGCGAGTGAGTGGTGAGGCGAAGGAAATGGAGGCGGCGGGAGAGGGGAGGAAGCTCCATCACCACGCCGGCGGCGGCAGGGCGCAGATGGAGGCGAGCCCGGAGCGCGGCAGGCCGGCGTACGCGTCGGCGGTGACGGCGAGGTCCGCGCCGGCGAGGCCCATGAGGCGGGTGCAGATCATCTACTACCTCTGCCGCAGCGGCCAGCTCGAGCACCCGCACTTCATGGAGCTCGCGCAGTTTCCCCACCAGCCGCTCCGCCTCAAAGGTAGGCATGCACTTCTTCCATCTGCACCTTCATCTGCGTCCCTGGTCATCTGTTTCTAGCCATGGCTGATGATCGATGCTCCATTTTTGTCGCCGCGAAGATGTGATGGACAAGCTGACGCTGCTGAGGGGGAAAGGCATGCCCGCTCTCTTCTCATGGTCTTGCAAGAGGTAGGCGCCGGATCGTTTATTGGACACGCTCCGTACGTATTTCTCGTGTGGTAGTAATGTGCTCATGGTCTTGCAATTGTGTTACTCTTTGATTGAAGGAACTACAAGAACGGCTACGTGTGGAACGACCTCTCGGAGAGCGACGTGATATATCCGTCCGACGGCGTGGAGTACGTCCTCAAGGGCTCCGAGATCTTCCCCGGCTGTTCTTCCGGTAATGAAAATCATCACTCTCCATCGCTTAACCACGACGCATGTAAAAGAAACAACTTCTTCTTCTTCCTAGCATGACCATGAGCGATACTGTGATAAGATAACTTCATTACTTTTTTGTTCCTTCTTCTCGTGCAAAAAACAAGCCGTCTTTTCCATCTTTTCGCCTCTCTCTGTCCCCATTGTCGACTCGCTTTCAAACGAATGGTCCAAGAGAGAGGAGCTGGTAAAAAACGAAGTACCCACAGCAGCTTCTTACACCTTGCACGTTCCCTTTCTGCACCCGCGTCGAAAGTCGCGAGGAATTTATCACCCAACGGCTCGAACGCTAGAATTCCTGCTCCTTTTTTCTCCATGGCGTTAATGCATGCATGCACGGTGGCGCCAGAAGTCTACCATGGCATGCAATGCAGTGTCCGAAGTAAAACCTGAATTTATGTGCAGCAGAAGTACAGCACCGCGGTCACTGTCCAACTAATTTTCGTTTCCCTGATCGCCAGCCGTTGCAGGGGAGCGGTTCCAGCACCTCCGCGTGACGGACAGGTCGCCGACCAAGCCCCCGCTGGCCCTCCCGCACAGCCACAAGCAGTACGTGGACGCCTACCGGGACGACGCCGGCGAGGACCCCGAGGACGACGAGCTCGGGTACCCGTACCACCGGCGTGCCGCCGCGGCTAGGCTGGGCGGGCCGAACAAGCCCGTCTCGGCCCGCACCAACCGTGGCCACCCCGTGGAGCTGCCCGTCGAGGAGACCTCGCCGCCGTCCTCGACGTCCTCCGACAAGCCGCCGCCGCCGCAGCAGGCGGGCCGCTGCGACGAGGCCGAGCCGAACAGGACCGGGTCGATGCTCCTGCAGCTCATCGCGTGCGGGGCGGTCACCGCCGGTCCGGCCAAGTGCGGCGGCCGGGCCGATCCGAGGCGGAGCTGCGGCCTGGTGAGCCGGCTGTCGTCCCGCGCCGGCGCGGAGGACGACGACGAGGAGGAGGCGGCGGGCGGCGAGCTGAGCCGGCGGTTCGGCCGCATGGGGGCGGAGGAGAAGGAGTACTTCAGCGGCAGCATCATCGTGGACAGCGGCGGCAGGGGCACCCCGCTGCCTGCTTCCTCGCTCAAACGCTCCAACTCGTACACCGAGGAGAGGTAATCAGCTTTGCTTGCTTGCAACCATTAATCCTCCTTCGTTCGTCACGTGTAGCGCTATACATATTCTCAGTTTGAAGTACGTACGTAGTGAGCTGCAGTAGTTTTGAACGACACTGTCGGGCGCATATGAGTTCCCATAATCTCACTCGGCTTGTCACATCGGTCACTCATTACAATTAGGGTCATGTCATGTGAACGTAGCCCACGAGGTTCGGTCTTTAGCCGTGGCAGGGCACGGAGGTCAAAAGATGAACATGCACGTCCTTGGTCCTGGAAAAACGACACAGTAGGAAAAAGCTTTCATGCATGCATGCATGTCGTCGCGGGCAGCCAAAGCGCCAACACATTGCAGGATCCATTGGTTGGTTCACGGTTCTAGCTAGGACGCGCTACTACCATTGCAAGTACGTACGTGCCGACCATGTACTGCTCCATGGATCCTCGTTGGCGGTGTGGTGCACTGCACGTTCAGGCGCGTCACATGGCACGGCGGCTAGCCTAGCTGCGTCGTCGCGCTGCTGCAGTGTTCCGTGCACTGTGCAGTGCATGCGCGGGCCACCGCCCACTCTGCTCGCTGGATCGATCGCCAGGCAAAAGTGCCTTCACATACGTGCAGACATGCTGCTAGCCTAGCCTACTGCAGTAGCTGTCATCACTGTGCTCCTAATCACGTCCAACACATGCATATGATCGCTGCTGAGAATGGTTTTGTGTTTGAATTATTCAGGGGCTCGAGGCTTGGCGCGGGGGTGATCGGCGAGGGGACGGCGGATGGGCGCATCGGAGGGGAGGAGGGGATGATGAGGGGAAGGTGCATCCCGGGCAGGAAGAGGCAGCCGCAGCACCAGAAATAGGCCGGCGCCTCGGCTTAGCTATCTAGATTAATCTCTGCTTCTGACAGAGCATGTAGTAATAGTTCCAGTAGCAGGAGTGTTTAGCATCTCTACTTGTGTGTTGTGGACCATGGGTTAGCATTGAGAGCTAGGCTTAGCATCTAGTTCGATGTTGGACAAGCCAGCACGCATGGCACTTAATTTTGGATCCTATGTCTATGTGAACGGTGAGAGTCGGTACTACTGTATCCATACGGACCGGTAGCAATGCAAGTAATCGACTGATCATGCCCGGCGTGCCTGTATTTCTGACACTGTATGTCACGCCCCCAGGCCCCGATACTACGTAACAACATATACAGCCGGACTTCTTAAATTAACTACTGATACCCAACCAAATCCCTTAAAGTCTCCTTAAATGCAGAAGCAAAAAATTGATCCAACCAAACCCCTCAAAGTCTTCTTAAATGTTGGGACTGTTCGCCACTCCTCCACTCCTCTTATTTATCTCGTATATGTGATGAGTATGAGGAGTGACCGGGCATGTCTAGTTAGTGGTCATGCGTCCGCCACATAGGATTGAACCCATCATAAAGCATCTTTTTTCTTTCTTTACTATTTTTTTTTCTTCTCTCTCCTTTATTCATCACATGCATTTGACTGGACATATAAGAAAAAAAGTGAGGGACATGACTGAGTGGACAGATAAATAGGGAGTCAAAACGAACATGACCGAACGCTGCATTTCCAGTTTTTGGAATGGAGGGAGTAATTTACAATTTGCTTTTGCAGAGGGGCTTCCAGAGAATGGGAGTGAGGATTCAGACATGATGCATTTCCAACCTTTGGACCTCCCCTTCCTCTTTGCTGGTAAATGCATTTTCCCTCCTGCATTTACTTGGGTGCATCTTGGTGCATACTTTTTTTGAGCAAAAGAGCGCGGGTGTGTGTGTGTGTGTGTGTGGAGGGGGGGCTCCGATTTCATTAACGAAGGCATCAAGTCTAATTAAGTTTTAGGAGGGGTCACAGGCGTCTAAATTTAAGTTTTAGGAGGGGTCACAGGCGACCCATTTGGATAAAGAGGGCGCAGCCTCCAGCAAATTAAACACAAGAAAGGAAAATCGAGCCATCTCCATGAAACGAAGTCTTCAGTTCGTCAGACGGGGAACTCCAGCTCTCCATCCCTGCGAAGCTTTGTATACCTCACTTGCTACTTGCTCGATTAGCCTTGCCCCCAGCATCAGAAGGTTTTGTCCTGTTTTTTTTTTCCTGCAAAACATCCCAATCCACAATCCAATTGCAAGTTAATTTCACCAACTTCATGGGGTCATTGATCAATTTATCTCGAAAAATTATATCATTTCGACATTTCCAAATAGTCCAAAGAATTGCAGACGTTCCAACTAGCACAAGTTTTTTTTTCCTCTTTTGAATTTCCTAATCCAGGCGCCCAGGCAATCATCAACCCCAACCGGGGTTGTTACCCCAACCGGGGTTGTTTTTATATTGAATGAGCATTTTATCATATTCCAAAGCAGCCTTGCAGTAGAGCAAGAGAGAAAAAGATGATCCATGTTTTCATTTTGACCACAGAATACACATCTTTGATCCCCTTTCCACCCCCTTCTTGCAAGATTATCTCTGGTTAGTATACTTTTTTTTGGCAAACATCCATAAAAACATCTTAATTCGCTGGAATTTTCACTTTCCAAAGAAATTTGTGTGGGAATCCCACATCTGTTTTAACTAACTGTTGATATAACGATCGAACAGAGAATTGTCTGTTGGCTGTCAACATCCACATTGGATGAACTTTGCCCACATACTTCTCACCCCTCCACATCTGTTTTTCAAACCCTCTCATAAAGCTCTTTTGTCTCCAGGCAAATTTCTTCTAAACTTAAAACCCTCCCATCCCATATCAATGGCCTGGGCCACCGAAATGTCACGAGTTAAGCTGATGAAGTATAGGCTTGGGTAGGCCTCTTTTAATGGTTTGGACCCTACCCACCAGTCTTCCCAGAATCTAGCGTTTTGTCCATCTCCCAATTTCTTTTTCACATTATTATAGTAAATGTCTTTGATCTGCATCAGGGCCCCCCAAAACTGAGAGTCCCCAGGTTTCTTTTTAATTTCAGATATACATTTTCCTTTTGCATACTTATTCAAAAGGATTCTGACCCACATCCCATCTTCTGTCTCTAGCTTCCAGAGCCATTTTGCTAGCAAGGCTTTATGCATATAGTCAAGATTCAATATCCCTAAACCACCCAGGTCCTTTGGCAAACAACATGTTTTCCAGTTGACCAAATGATATTTCCTTTTATCCTCATTCTCCTGCCAGACTAGTCTGGCTCTAAAGAAGCCAGCTTTTTTCCTAACTCCTACTGGCAAGGGGTAAAAAGACATCATATACATAGGCATATTTGTCAGGCAGGCCTAGACTAGGGTTACTCTCCCAGCCATATTCAAAAGCCTCCCTTGCCAGCAAGCACATCTCTTCTCTATTTTCTCAGTCATGCTTTTCCAAAATTTATTTCCTAATCTCACATTGGTAACAGGTAGTCCCAGATATTTGAAGGGAACCTCCCCTTTGCTACAAGTGAGTATTTCTTGATAAATCTCACTTTTGTTTTTGGCTTCCCAAAAAGGTATACCTCACTTTTGTGGAAGTTAATAGTCAACCCATACATTTGCTCAGAAGCTGTTATTGGTTTTCGTATCGGAATTATTTCGATTATCAGACGAGCAGGTCCATATACTGGCGTTCCTATCAGCCTCCAAGCAAGATATGCACGTCATATCTCCATTTAGAACTGCTGCCATGATGCCTTAGAATGGAAATTCGCTGCAGCACCGTACAAATAATCTAGTCCTGTCAGTGAAAATGGTGATGAGCAAATGGAACAACCAGAGAATTATTTTTTTGAAACAGAGGCACAACCAGAGAAAATAGTTCTCACGGTGTTGAGGAGAACATGGAGATGTCCGAACTCGATGACAAAGTTTCTCCTTCAACACCAGATATTTTGGAGACCGAATCTCTCCTTCAGATTAAAGGTTGCAAACAGCAAATAGAAAACATGCTGCAATTCTTTTTAAATAATCCAACTTTTTTGTCTGAATTGCGGAGTCAGATGAACCTCTCTGGCCCAAGAAAAGAGTAGCTACAACTAATATGGCAGACGAACAATCATGTTCAGATATCCAGGGAATTAACACAGTTTCAAGGAGTACTGCTTATGATACCATCTCTGATAAAGGTTTTTTTTTATGGTGGCACGTCTAGAGGAGTCGCTCGGGATACTGTAAGGTGCTATGCTCTGCAGAATGGAGACATCGTGGTATGTTTCGAATGATCTGCCTGTTTAGTTGCTGGGTGACATTATACACTAATAAATCTTTTGTTGAAATGATTGACTTTGGGAAGTTTATGGACTATGCATAAATAGTTGCAAGCTTGGTGCTATAATTTTAGTTTCGCAACCATCTGCTTGATGCACGGACACTGGTCTGAAATCTACTAGGAGTACCTTACTGCATCGCTTGCTTCACTGCATCTTAATGCACCTTTATATCCGTCACGGTAGTAAGTAGCCTCCTGCAAAGTTTAGAGTTATGTCTCACCATCTTCGGTGAAATCAGCTATTACGCTTTAAGCAAATTCATGTAAATCTTTTGCACGACTACTGCAGTTTTCTGTATACTAATCATGCTTGTTATTAGTTTATATGCACTTACCTTTGGTTTGAAGTTTCTGCCAAAGACCGGCGGTATCCATACATCTGAAGTATTATTAATCGTTTCTTTCCAGGCGAGATAAGGAGCACTCAATTATTCTGAAGCCTGCAAATATGTTTCTTTCCAGGGATTGGATGATCAACAGTGATGTATCTCTGACTTGGTCACTCCCAAAGATGACTGGAGTTGATACAAATGCTTCTGTGCCTGGGGTTAGCGACCCCGGTGCTGCTCTTAATGATCAGTATGCTGTACTTATATCATATAGCTGCAATTATACAGGTGAACTGTTGGAAAAAAAAAAAAGAACATGCGCTTGAGGACAAGTGTTTGTTTATAATTCTGACTCCCAGCCCTTTTATCCTCTGCAGAATCAAAGCTTTTCTTTAAGCAAGCCACGAGCTGGCAACCCCGTGCAGCTAGTGATCTTATAATCTCTGTATCTTCAGAACTGTCATTACGATATCCTAGCCTGAGTGCTCGAGTTCCTCAACAAGCATCTGGTTCTTCTTCAGTTGTATCATTGAACTCAGCTCCAACCACACCAGATAGTTGTTATGACAATCTTAATGAGCCTATGAGAAGGTCTGGCTTGGGAAAACATGGAAATGGTTCTCGGAGACTAAATTCATTTGTTAGTGGCTCTCCAGAATAAAGTGATAATGGAGGAAATAGAATGAGTACTTCAACAGGCTGCACCCATTTATGGTTGCAGAATGCAGTTCCTCTAGGTATTGCTATCCACCCTCCCCGTTTTTCCCCTTCCGTCGAGTCATAGCTCGATATGTCAATACGCTGAAGAATTGCATTCTTGTGGTTAACATGGTGTGTTCCTGCACGGTCAAGCACCACTGTCAAGTTTGAGCTACTCCCATTAATAGATAGGATCATTACACTAGATACATGGCAAATAACCATAAAGGAGAGAGGTAAAATTTTCATGAGAAAAACAACATACAGAATATCACCCAGATATAGCATGGTGCCTGCCCTCAGAACACATTTTGTTATTGTTACTGTTTACTACCTGTCATAGTCTGAATCCACCAGATTCATCAGATTAAATTTTAAGATAGTGTTCCATGGCAGGATCGGACGACCAAACCTCTCAAGCATGTCATGTATTTTGCAGCTGATTCACGCCATGTATCTTTGCACCACAGATCTTGCGTAGTACTCCCTCTGTCCCATAATATAAGAGCGCTTTTGACACTATACTAGTGTAAAAACGCTCTTATATTATGGGACGGAGGGAGTATATATTAGGGTCAGTTCTTTTGATGGCTTCTAGAATAAGCTCAGTAGGTACCCGTTAGGTACCTTACCCAGCTTATTTTAGAAGACCAAAAAAACTGACCCTTAGAGCACTCATTGAAAATACACGCACTTCCGCCATTTCAGCGGGAAGGTCATAGTAGGAAGTAGTAGTGCATTACTCTATGTCTTATGTCTGTGGCTCAACCTCTGCGTGAGTGGGAGTCCAAGTGTGCAGCTGATCATTTGTATTGGATGTTGGACATGGAAGCTCTTAGGGCAGTATCCGAGAAACGAGCCAGCCAGATAATGGTATTTGTGCTGAACACGATGGTCTCCGCATGAACCAGAGAATATGAGACAAAGCTTTTGTGTTGGCCAGGTTCACACACATATATATCCATTTGTAAACAGAGTGGTTGGGCAGGCTCGTCGAAAAACCTGTAATGTTGTGCTGCATAGTTTTGACATCATTTTTGTGTTTTTTCATTCTTTTTGTTACATGTAAATCTGACGCTTGGTCTTGTCTTAGTTGGTGGGAAGATGTATCATGTTATGTATCGGAAAATGAGAAAGTTATCTCTGCTTTCGTTCCTTTTTGTTGGTAATTTAGATCAGCTGATCTTGGCAGCTGATATGTGCTGCGTTTTGATACAAGTTGGAAGGCAAGGGAAGCAAGAAGGTCCGATTAATTGGCTTTAGGACAATTGAATACTCCGCATATAGTATCCGTTAGTCGTCCAAGTCCACCAGAAGGGTGGCGTGTTGCTACACCCAGTGCTCGGTGCGGGCTGATGCGCGCCCGCACATGAGCTGATCGGCGTCGAAGTTGCACCAAGGTCATGACACATGAAAAGGAACGGAGCGGAATGGCGAGCAACCTCGGGTCCTATGGCGATTGGAGGTAAGAGCATCTTCAGCCGTTCGGCCCCCAGGGTGCTAAAAAGGGGCGGTCTGAGGGCGAACCGGCGCTAGTTCGGCCCCTGGGGCGACCTAACTCCCAGTCACGCCCCCAGGCGCCGCCCCCAAGACGCGAAAAATTTGACTTGGTCGTTCCTGCTCACAAAAGACGCCACAAGTCGGGCGATCACAACCCACAGTTCGGCGTACAAAAAATAGAGCGGCAGAAGTTCGCGTGCGCATCACTCGGCGGGCTCTGCTCCAGGCGTTGGCGGAGTTGGCGTGCGCGGGCTTGGCGGTGTCGGCGCGGCTTCGGTGGTGCTGGGCGTCGTGGAGGCGTCGTCTCGCGGGCTTGGCGTCGGTGTCGGCGTCGGCGTTGGCGTTGGCGTCGGCGGCCTTGTCGAGGGAAGCTGGTTCAGGATGAGGCCACGCTCCGCCAAGTACCACGCCAAGAACTCGGCCTTGAGGCGGTCCCAGTACGTGTCGACGCTCTGGTTCGTGTCGGTCGTCGGGTCGAGGCAGACGACTTTCCATACTTCGGCGAGGCATTTCTCCTCCTTGGACGCCCACTTGATGCGCGGCTCGCCTGTCCTGACCACCCGCTTCTTCTTGCGCCCTTTCGCCGTCACAGGCGTCGGCTCCTCCTCCTCCTCCCCCTCCTCGTTGTCCTCCTCCTCCTGCTCCTCCTGCTCGTCCTCGCCGTAGACGTAGCCGAGCTCGCCGTCCATGCCGCCGCTGAGATCAACCACCTCGTCCTGGGTGACGAACCCGGGAGATGCGGCGGTCGCGGCCAAACCTGTCGCGATGATGTCGTCCATGTCGGCCTCAGTCTCGTCGGTGTCGCCCAGGTGCGAGAAGGGCAGCGGGCCACGGCGTAGCAGGGGCGTCGGGGAGGAAGTGTAGGCGGGCGGCGAGTAGTTATATGGAGGGTACTGCACGCCGGCGAAGGCGGGTGAGGGCGTGCGCTGGACCGGGTATCCATGGGGGAAGGTGACGTTTGGGTTGAACCCACCATGCGCGTCACCGTCGGCGTAGTCCGGCGAGGGCGATCCCCATGGTTGCGGAGAGCCCACGCCTTGCTGACCCCAGGGCGCGTACTGGGCGTGGCTTCCGGGTGGATTCATCATCCCCACGCGAGCCGCCTCGGCCTCGATTTGGTCCGCCGAGGCAGCCGCAGCCGCGCGCGTCGCGTTGTCGCGGGCCTTCTTGGCGATGGCCCTGTTCCGCCGGTCGGCGGTGACAGCCTCCCGCTGCTGAACTTCCGCCCTCCACTCGGCGTTTGACATGCCCGGTGACTTGGTCGGCGGCGCCCTCGGCTTCCTCTGCTTCGGCTGGGTGACGGAGGCGGCCGCGGTTGCCGCCGCGCGGGGGGCGACGTACTTCTTCGGTGGCATGGCGGCCGGC